ATCTGATTGAGATAATCTATCATTATCCTCCGGCCGGCCGTGTGCAGCGAGCACTCCAGAAGGACGTGCCTAGGGGTTTGGGACCCTAGGTCACAGGCGCACCGGTCGGAATCGACCTGTTTGATCTTGTAGAAGAAGTGCCTTAATCCTATCCTTATAGTGCGCATCTGAATAATAATCGAGGTGTGCGGCTTACAGAGATGCTCGTAAAGCCGTAGATTCTTCTTGTTTGGTTTAGGTAGCAGCTGCCTCGTCGGCCTGCCTATTTTCTGTCTTTTCTACTGCTCTGTCCACTCTGTACGCAAGCGTTGGCGGATATCTCTTTTAGCTGCAGCTGCAAGCCGTATGATTGGTCGATCTCGCGGTTTTACTGAGCTTAATTTAACTCCTTTTATCGCAGCCTCCTTGGCTACCTTGTCCGCCCTTTCGTTTCCCTCTACCCCGATGTGAGCGGGGATCTAACGTAATTCAGCATCCTCTAGGCTCTCGTTCCTCAGGGTCCTGATCCTCTCGTAAATAGCCCGCAATGCGTACTGGCCCGATGGCCGGCCAGGGTTGCGCACGGCTTGAATAGCTGCTTGGCTGTCTGAGAAGACCGTGATCGGGATAGGCTTCGCCCGATCTAGGGCCATTCGGGTCCCTTCCAATTCCCCAACGTAGACCGTAGAGTCCAGTTCCGTTCCTAGATACTTCCTAGCGGTCTTACCTGCTCGAATAGAGACCGCAGCAGCTCCGATCATCCCCTGATAGCCGTTTCCATCTGTATACCAGATCTGCCGGTCCTCGCGGCAGATTCTATCGTGAGTCTGGACTGCTTTCTCTGCCCCCTCAATGATGCACCTGAGGGGCGACTCCCACGGGGCCAACACATGAGCCCGTCTGGTCTCTTATACCCCCTGTCTGCTGCCGTATCCATATAGCGGGCCTGTTTTCTTCCACTTCAGTGCCTCCATCGGAGAGTATCCGGAGGCCTTAAATGCCTCTTTCGACCTTTCCCAGCGGAGGCCCCGGGGGCAGGTTATAGCCGGCCCGGTTTGGATCCGAATAGCCGCCTCTTGAATAGTTTGTTGCATCTGTATTTGCATAGGGGGAAGGTAGAGCTCTATCTCTAGTGCAGCTGAAGCCGTGTTACGGAACGTGCCACTGATAAAAATAGCTGCGCGGGTTTGAATTTTCTGAAATTTATTAACTGTCTTCTGGAGCTTCTTGTAGTTAGCTGTCCGGCTTGTAGGGCTATACCAGGCCGCCGCCCCGTAGAGTAACTGAGGGACTACCACTGCTAGGTAGATGCGGCGCATGCTCAGCAGGGAGGTCCCCCAGGTCGAGCCTGAGATGCTGCGGAGGGCTTCCAAGGTTCTGTTCGCCTTGACAAGGGCCTTGGCCCTGTAGGTATCAAACGAAAGGGTCCTATCGAGCCAGATTCCTAGATATTTGGCGTACTCTACTGGTTTGATAATAGAGCCGGTTGCGTGATCCTTGATGGGCAGCTGATCGTGACCAGGGGGTTCCATTGGGGGATCCCAGTTGTCAACCTCTGGGTTCTCTCCCTGCCACGGCTCAGTATATATATATTCCTGCGGTACGGATCGTTCTACCGCAGGATCAGGGCGAAACGGGTTCTTGAAATGAATGAGTTCGAACTTATCGGGGGCAAATTTGGACGAATGCTGCCTTGAGCATACCGCGGCCTTGTCCAGGGCCCTCTCTAGGAGACGCTGGTTGACCGCGTAGCTATCCGAGATGGCCAGGGTGGCAACATCGTCAATCCACCCGTAGGAAACTGTCTTGCCTCCCTCCAGGAGGGGTAGCTGAATCCGAAGGGCCTCGGGACCGTTAATCGATAGGGCGCGAATGAGGGGGGTATTAAATAGGAGGAATAGGATCGGCGATATAGGGGACCCCTGGGGGATCCCGGTAGGGGTTAAAATAAGGTTGCTGAGATATCCGGAGAGCTGCAGCCTTGTCGATCGATTCGATAAAAAGGACTTGAGCCAGCCGGCGAAGAAATCGAGCCCTATCATACGTAGATTGTGGAGGAGCCGTATATGCGAGACGTTATCGAAAACGCCAGCTACGTCTAGGAATAGCATACTGACTTTCCGGCCTTTGCCCCAGTTCTCAAAGATCTGGTCAAGAAGCAACTGGATCAGGTGATCGACTGAGATGCCCCTGCGGCCCCCTAGATGGCTCCTGGGTAGGAGATTGCGCTCCTCCAGGGCCCAGGCGATCCGTACTGTAGCCACGGCCTCCAGGATCTTACCGAGGGTATTCAGGAGCGCTATAGGTCGGTAGGATTTGGCGATACAATAGTCCCGGGGGGCTGCTTTACGCAGTACTACAGTAATCGATTGCTGAAAGTATTCCAGGTTATGTCCAAGACGTAGACACGCATTAAATATTTGCGTTAGTACAGTAAGGAAAGAGGCAACCTTACTCAGCCAATACTAGACCTTGTTAGGGATGCCATCCGGCCCTGGTACTTTATCGGGAGGCGCCTGCCTGATACAGCGGAGCACCTCGTGCTCGGTAAAATCCGGGAAATCAATCTGGGGAAATATCTGAGCCGTAGAGATGTCAGAGAGGTCGGCCAGAGATAGTTCAGAAAAGAAAGCTTTGCGAAATGTCTTTACTTTCTGTTCTGCGGTCTCTGCGAGCCCGTTATCCGTTATCAGCATCAGTATAAGGTTTCCGCGGGCCTCCTTGCTCCTCGCCCACTTGGCTGCCTTCCACATGCCTCGAGGGCCTGATTCGGTAGCCTTGCGGACCTAGAAACGGTGGCCCTAGCGCAGTGCCTTAGCCAATACTTTTCCTTTGCGGTTTCTGACTTTGGTATAGCGCTCCTACCGGAGGCCCGTGGTAGGGTCGGTAGGGCCGTTCGTAATAATTGATTCTGTATACTTACGCCGGAATTTCCGGGTGATCTTGACCATTTCGCGGCATTCTGCATTGAATGAAGGGTTCGCCCACTTACTGGGCTTTGCCTACGGGGTAGAGGCAGCGATTCCTTGATTGACTGTCTCGATAAGGTATTTTATAGCGAGCTCAATATGCTGCTTCGTTTGTAAAGGAAAGGCCTTGGTCTGTAGGTTGAGGTCCACGAAGCTCTGCAGGTTCTTAACGCTGCAGGTTTTCCAGTTCTTTCGTCGCTGTGTCTCAGGGGTTTTAGTGCTGATATCCAGAAGAGTTCGTATAGGATAGTGGTCCGAGTCTGCGTAGACTCGTTCGTTAACCTCGCAGGTAACGAGCCTAGGGGTCAGGTCCTGTAAGCCGAAGACCAGATCGATAGTGGTTCTGCTTCCGTTACGTTCTTACGTGGTAGTGCCTGGCTTTAGCCAGAGGTCTAGGTACCTCGTATCCGTCAGTTCCAGTAATTGGTCGAACGAGGAGTCTCTTTTAGAGCGTTCTCTTCCCCAGGCCGGGTGGTGGAAATTAAAGTCGCTTAACAGGAGTAAACGCGGATTAGTAGAGCTGTTAGTAGGGCCGGTAGAGATAGTTAGAGAGATAACGAGATCAAGAGTAGTACTATCTGCTTTGTCAGATCGATTATAGATGTTAAAGATGCGCACTTGTTGGCCGTTAGTATCAGTGAGCTCGAGCTCCTAAACGTCCTTCGAATGCGCTATATGTTTCCAGGTACTGGAATCGATTTGATATAATATATAGAGGCACACGCGGGCCCGCTCGTTCCCTATTTCGGTCGAATCCGGGTATAGGAGCTGGTAAAAGCCGTTAGCAGGATAGTAAGTAGTATCCTGGTAGATATTTTCCTAAGGTTCTTGTACAAAGATAAGGTCAGCCTCTAGGACTGCAGGGTCCCAGAGGAACTGTACTATCACCTTGTCTTTAGATCGATTCGTATTATATTGGAGGATGTAAAGGGGCTTGATCATAATCGATTAGCCCTAATGCGTTTCTGTGATACTGAGCGGGCCCTTGTAATAGGAGCCGTAGTAGGTACAGTAGTTAGTACCGGGGACTTCGAGAGAGAAACAGTAAGGGTCTTATTGATCGAGATTAATCGTTTTCGGTATGCTACTCTACTGCGGGATCGTTTCGTAAGTAATATCTCGCCGGTTAATAAGTTAACTGGTATAATTGCCAAATATGAGACTTCCTGCCGTATTACAGACTGGGTACGGGCATTCCGGTACATTCTTTCAGACGAGATAACGCTCTGCAAGCCACTCCTTCGTCTACGGTAATCCCTAGGCATCGGGGTCACTGGGACAGATACCTCCGGCTCGTTCTGCTGACCGGTTTTTTCCCGGTCAGGCTGCGGAAACGTATCCATTCCATCTGCAGCAAAATCTATTCTATTATCTGAGGGTCCATTGGCTGCAGGAATCATTTCTTGCGAGCCGGCGTGCGGCAGCATAGATCTCGGTTAAAATCAGACTGTTAAACGATTACGGACGCTCGCAGGTCTACTAACGGACCTTGTACGCCTCTCTAAGAGGCTTGTGTGCGGCTGGCTGTATCCCTCGCTGTTAGACGAGCTAGAGGCCTCCGTACCGCTACGTACGGAAAACTGAAAGTCCTGCGGATAGAGAGAGATCCGATATCAAGTTTACCGATATACTGCTGCGGTTTGAACCCGGTCTGTCTCTGCTGCATACCTTAAATACCTTTTGTGCCAGGTAGCGTATGCTTCTTTACACCCTGCACAACGGCGCTCTTAGCTGTTAGTAGACTTGTGGGAGCAGTTCCGGGTCTTGTAACTGCTCCCATAGAGCCCGCAAGTTGTTTTATTCGAACAGACAATTCCTATGTAACTATATTATTGGCAGTTAAAGTACCGTTGGATACGAGCAGTCCGATTATATAATACTGTTCTATGAATAACGCTATCCTAAATGGTACCTCGTGCGATTGCCTTATTGGCGTAACAGGGATCTAAGAATTCTACGATCAGGGCAAATAATTTCTGGTTCTTATAGTTAGACGGATAGGTAAACTACGCGATACGCGTAATTTAGGGACTCTGTTGAGTCTCTTTGCTTATCCAGCAGTTCCTGTTTTTCTCGAGTAACTCGTTAGTTACCCGTTATTGTTCCGTATCGGTAGTGAGGTCCCCGATTGACTTAAATGCGATCCCATATATAACGATACCCCAAGAGGGATGCCGTAACATGGCCCTCGCGCTTAGGTAGTTAATCCATTGATCGTGAGTCCTGGCAGCTTCGGCCTCAGCGGTATAACGGAATGAAAGGTTCAGGTCGCTAAACTTAAGCTATTTAGTAGCTATAAAACGCGTTTTAGCTAGAGAGAGAGTCTCTGTTTAGCTGCATATTTTCTGTCTTGCTGTTTCCGCTTTTTGTTTAATATCCGAAGCTGTAAAATGTCAGTACGTATACATTGTACCAGCATCCCGTAACTTAACGATAACCTCGCGGTCCTTGCTGAGCTCCGACGGGATGGCCAGGGCGGTGCTAGAGAAGCCGTAAGAAAAGATCGTATAGGCCGGGGAAGGCGCGTTACGGACCACAGAGGCCCAGAACTAGTTATTCTGTTTCTGTACACTCGATTGAGTGTGATAGGTTTGTTTTTGAACGTTCTGAAAGGTCTGCCGGATGTTGGCTAGCTCGGGGCCGATACGGCAGTTAGCAGTCAGAATATCTACAATTTGGTATTGCAGAAAATCGCAGGTATCAGTTACCTGCTGTATAAAGCTGACTACCGGTTTAAGAAGCTGTTTCCCATTTAATTCGTTAAATTGAAGGTATTGCTGCGCATCTTTGTTAAGGTTTAAAACGCAGTAGAGAAAATTCTGATTGTGTATATTTACTGCCTCAGGAATCCCTGAAAGGGCCGGCCACGAGGGTTTCGCCCCAACCATATCGATATCCCCTATAAAGTTAGGTTCAATCGATAGCGGCTGGGATTGATAGTAAACTGGCTGATTCTAGAGGTTGCAGCCTTTGTGGTGATTGAGTAATTTTTAAAAATTTTGTTCGCGTCGAAGTTGTTGTTTTCTCGAGAGGGAGATAGCCTGCAGAACGGGGGTTTTCTTGCGGACGATATCGGGTTTAACAAGATTAGTCCCTTCCTTTCTGCGGGACTCTATATTTGCCCACTAATCACTTCTTCCGGCAGACTCTTGTGACCTATCTGGTAATCCTGACGGCAAGATGGATTGAAATTGCGCTGCAGCGAGCCCGCGACCAGCCATCCTCCCAGCCAGACCATCAAGCCTGCGGACATGATCACGATCTCCCCATTCGGTGTCCCTATCGACCGTCTGCGAAGAACCATGTCCTCTCCCAGGTCCGCAAGGGCGCGAACTACATCTTTGTCGACGCCAGCCTCATTGCGACCTGGTACAATGAGTGGAAGTTAATCGTTAATACAAGGGACGCTCACATCCGCGATATGGTTTTCGTTCTAGGATACCGGGATTCCTACCGGAGTCTCCCGACGTAAGAACAATAGTCGCGCAATAACGGGGCCGATCAGTTCTTCTTAAAGGACTTAGCAAAGTGGAAAAATCTCCTTTACAAGACGATCGTAAGTTACTACTGCCTCGGGACTATGAGCCCAGAGAATCGGGAGGCCTAGCGCTAGATCAGAAAAGATTCTAAACGCGATTATTGCAGCCGGTTTATCTTACTGATAATCCCCTAGAGTTATAACAGCCGTTTCGCCAACTTCGTGAGTCGGACTCGGAGACTTCCCCCGGATTCTACAAGGAAGGTTCCGGTATAAAAGACCAGCTATTGTATTACGATCGATCGGACGTTTCGCGACAAGTATTATATTACGTATAGCGAGACTACTCCTATCGTTCTTAAACTAATGGCGTTAGCAGAATATTAGGCTCTTGCGTACTGATTCCTGTCCGCGATACCCTGCACATCGTTTCCGGCAAATCTGGCAGCATTTATGCGTCTTACTGAAACCCGGCAGTGGCGGGCTAATCTCTGTACGCGCAAAAATAACTATTAGCTGTTTTAGCAGTTTAGAAAGCAGTTCAATACCGTTTCTGCCAAAGAAAATGTAATTCAGATTGACGTTATACTGGACTGCCTCAGCACCTTTTTCCGTGCGATTAACTTTCTAAAACGGATGCAGAAATCCGTCTGATTCGGTCGCACCTGCCTGGATCTTCCTGAGCAGATTGTACATCCTATCGACTGTCCTCTGGATGCCACTAACCGCGAGAATATCAAGCAGCTACGTGATACCCGTTTCGGCAATATCTATAGTGCCATGCATACGGTGAACCGCGGCACCCTAAAGGTAAAGCTAAACAGTATAACGCAAGCTATCCGCATCTGCGCAGCTTTTCCCGGTCTGCTCTGCTATGCTAAACAGCAGGGAAAAGCCATTACGGACATTCCTACTACGGTAGAACGCATAGAAACAGAGAATATCCTACCACACCCGGAGAACAGTTGATTGGTCTCCCAGATTGATACAGTACTCCGTGGTTCGTCTCGCTGGGTCGCGGTTCAGCGGATTATCGACGGTCTTGATATCAAATCCGATATTGGCTAACCGCGCAAGATCGTGATTCTGTTACAATACCCGACCGTAGCAGTAATTGTATATCTCGTCAATTATCCCGAACTCTTTGTTTCTGTATCAGCAATCGCTCTAACGCTATTAGGCAATCTGCAAATACTATTCCGTTTACTATCTATATCTCGGTTTAAGGAACGCTACAGACCGATCGTTTTGGGTAAATAAGTTCCAGGAGCTGCCGACAGGAGTTACTCTTACCTATAAAAACGAGCCTGCCCGCAGTCCCGGTATTTTTGTAGCTATAACTAACATTTCTTTCCGTGGGTTAACTCTTACTCGCGCCGCAAGCCTGATCCTTATGGAGGTAGACTGGCGCAGTACAAATTACACGCAGGCCTTTGGCCGCATCCGCAGGATCGGTCAAACAAGCCCAGTAGTCTACGACTATATCTTTTAGAACACTCAGGAAGAGGAAGATCAACGCGCCATCCTCAAAAATATAGCGAGACAGGCTCTCGAAAAGACGGTTAATACATACGGGCAAAAGGGATCTCCTTCCGGTCAGCAAGGCGAGGAAGATGACGGAATGATATCAGATGAGGCATT